AATCACAAATTTTTATAAGGAGGAGAAGAAACTACTATTCTTTTCAAAATATAACATATCCTATACAATATTGTATGTTGCAAGTAATCAGCCATTTTGGAAACTGAACACAAGGAAAATACATTTTAAGGGACCAGTAACCAATATTTTAATTATCCCCCCCCCGTATATATACATATATAAAATTAAATCTGTGGCGTAACAGCTCCAGAGAGGCAAAGCCGATTAGCTGGCTGCTGGCCTCACGTTCACATGCCTAAGCAGAGGTGAACGATCGTCCAACCAGATATAGAATGACGTGTGGTCAGCACGACGAACCCCCAGCCATTGCTAGTTTTCTTGGCCGGATTACGCTACTCATTGTAGTTCCCCAATTTCCTCACGATGCTGGGTTGGCACCGGTCCCATACACTGGTCGAAAGCTCATGAGAAAATGTCTTCTCCCCCCGAGACTCGAACCAGCGCGCATTCCATATTGCCGGTCCGAAGCATGATGCCTCAGGCCGCGCGGGACTATATACATATATATATGTGTGTGTGTGTGTGTTAATGACTGTGCGTGCAAGAAAATAACAGAATTAACTAACATTCCCCAGGTTACAATTCAATAACACAAACGTATTTGCTTTGTTATTGCTCAATCTATTCCGACGCTCAGTAATCAGCATCCCTGCTTTTGAAAAAACTCTTACAGAAGTCACCGAGCTGCCTAATGCACAAAATATTTCACGGACATCCATGCTGAGGTGTGGATAACTGAACTGATGCGCTTTCCACCATTGCAAAGGATCTTCGTTCCTTGGAAGAAATGCTTCTTCAAGGTAACGATTTACCTCTACAATGTCTCTTCATGTTGCTCTACCTATTCTTGGTGGATTTCTTGTAGCTGATATGTCAATATAATTCCACACGCACAATTCATCTGCATCTGTAGTGACCGTTGCTGAATGTGGTGTGGTGTCAACATTATGGTTGACTTTTGATGTAACCAGTGCAATCACTTTCTGCTTGGCATTTTCTGAAATTTGTTTATCAGAGAATGCCAACATCTTAAAGCGAGGATCAATAAATGTGCAGACCATCAGTGTTGTGCTTTGTCCCAGGCTTCCAAACCGTTCTTGTATTGATCTAAGGTAGCACTGTATCACTTGCTGCACCTCCTTGCAAAATGATTTTTTCAGCAGAATGTTGCAAACATTCTTCAGGCCAATTGCAAGTGGGATGATTAGAGATGCTGTGGCATACTTTTCTCCACTCATTGTTTTTGTAACTGACTGGAATGGTTTGAGGAATTGTATCAATTCCCAGATTATCTTCCAGTCTTCAGAAGACAAAACGGGAAGATCTTTATCAATTAATGTTATTTTAGCTTTAAGTGATTCCTCTGGTAGTGCGAATCGTTCTAACACGTCATAAGTTTAGTTCTAACGAGTTGGTACATCGTGAATCAACTTAAGTGCTTGCCTGCCAGTGTTATTTTGTTGGTAAGTTATGAGTTATCAGTTAACGTATCCCCATTTCGCGTGCGGGAATGCACATAACCACATATAATTATGCAAACCCCGTCTTCAGTAAGTAATCAATCAGTCAGTGTCTTTGCCCTCAATAGCTTTCAATATTTAAATGTTTTAAATTCTGTTTTATTTGTTTATGCCCATTTTCTTGAAATGGCTTGACAGAGTACCAGTATTTTCTTATAATTAAAGTTGGTTCATACCGGAATGGTCAGGACTCCCTTAATACACTCTTATGGGTATATTTAAAAGGAAATGGGATGACTAAATAAAACTAAATACTTCCCCCACAAAATTACTTATAAAAGAAACATTTGATGTTAAAATTATCAGTATTTAAATCAAAAACATTCTGGTGCATGAATTTAAGTGTGTGTGTGTATATATTAAGTAAAGCTGTTCCACTATATGCCATGTAGGCACTTAGGGGGAGATGTGACATAGTTCATACTCATTCTTGACCTCGGGACTAGATAGGGGTGAGTGGTCAGCATCACACTTTGTCCATGCTTTACCCCCAGGGAAGGATCCCAGTACCCATTGGATAGGCTGGGTGGGCCCCAGAGCAGGTCTGGACACAGAGGCTGAAGGAAAATTCCTCTGCCCTTGTCGGGGATTGAACCCCAATTGTCCAGTCTCTAGCCAATCACTACATTGACTATGCGGCTCATATATGTAGAGTTAACTGATTTTTAAATCAACTTCATCCTCATTCTAAAGCCTTGGAAGTACAAAATTTATTGTCATCCGTATGAGCTGAGTGGAATCATTGAGAAATTTTTTTATTATGTATTTAAAAGAGCTGGAAACAAAATACTGGCAACAGAACTGGAATGTGACCTATTTTTAGGAAGGTAATAAAACATTATTGAGCAATTACTAAATAACAGTCCAACAACGTTGTAGTTCACATGAAATTACTCAACTGGTAAACCCTTGCAGATAAAACTGCTACATTATCACCTTCACTTCTATAAATGTGGTCACCACACAAGTGTGTAAATATTTGGATTCAATTTTTCTTTGCACTGCTCAGTCATATCAAAAACTGAATGGAATATACTCTTCATAAATCAAATGAAATGGCAGTTAGCAAGTACTGAATAGTTAGATACTTTCTACTTGATAGTGATGTCACTTGTTAGTCAGATGTGGTTAACTCAGAGTATCAGCAGCAACTATGCACCACTGCCAGACTTGTTTTGCATACATAATTAAATTACAACTATGCCACAGTGACATATTTATGCATTTGCAGAAAGTGATCAAAAGCTCACATTATACTGAAAATAAAGAAAAATTACTCTCTTTATAACTAATAAATACTTATATATTTAATATTGTTACAATGATCATGTATAAAAAGAGGCTTGCCATAAAAGGCTATATGTGTTGCATTGGATTTTTACTGTAGTTTCTGCAAGTTTTTGTCTGATGAAATCGCTCTGCTCAGAGAGATTCCTTCATCTTCAGTAAAAGATCGGAGTCACACAGACACATGTCTAGGGAGTATGTTGGTATCCGAGAGTTTACCGCTGCCACTGTGACACACACACGAGTAGGCACATAGCCATACAACACATCAGTGGATGGTTGCCTTCATCACAATATCATATGAAGTTGGTAGTACTGTGCACTGATATTTTCACTGTGTGAGACTGCATGGCAGAGGGTGCCCATGAACACAGTATCTTAAAATCAGCATAACCTTGTTGGTACTTGACTACTGACAAAGTTCCATAAAATGCAGAGATTCTGGGTGATAGCAATCATCTGAATGCAGTTTCATTTTGGGCTCATGCAATCATGACTATGTTTCATCCATGACTATGGTATAGTACAGTACTTCCCAATAGTCTCTCATAAACGTTATTACATAACCTCAATTTCTATCCAGAAGTGTTGCTCAAACGTCATTAACATGATTTTAATGTAACAAGTTATGACATCCTAATTTTGCTGGCTTGCATATGAATGTTACTCTGATGTAAAGGAGTGTGGACAGACATATTGGTCAACTGTACTACAATCTGAATTTTTCTGCTTTTGTAAAATTCTACACATATACATCAGTGTTGGTACTATTTTCTTTTTCCAACTCTAATATATGATTCAGAACCAGTTGTGCATAAGCGTGGTTATCAAAAGATCAGTCAGTAATCCAACAGATGCTAGGACATGAATCAAAGTAGAAGCTTTTCAGTGGTTACACCACAGATGATAAGTTTACATAAAACAAAATCAACAGAACCAAGAAAGACAAGGCAATGGTTCAATATTGTGTTTCCCTTAAGTTTTGTGCATTAAAAATTAAAGTTTTCTTATTAAAATAAACTGCAAATGCAAAATCAATTGTCTTCAAGGGTTATTATTTTATATAATGTTGGCACTGCTGTGAATGATGTCCAAGCAAGTGCCTGACTCATTTACTTCCTGTTTCGGCTCTGAGAATCAACCACTTGTGCTGCGGAATGGTTCAAATAAATGGAACACACCTTGAACATTAGTTTCAACAAAACTGCATTCAGTTTGCCCTTGTAAAAAGGAACAGAGCATCTCTGATGTCAAAACTAAAAAAAACTCTTGTCAACCACAAAGATGGTAATACTGATACAATAAAAGAAAGTTAATACTGATACAACAAAAGAAACTTAATACTGATGCAATAAAATAAACTTATTAAAGACAAGTTTTCAGAAAGAAATAAATGTCTCTAAAGACAGAAGATTAACTTACTACGGGCACATGTGCAATACATAAGTACTGTCTTGTGAATTCATTAAATAAAATTGCTTAAAGAGGAACATGAGATGTATATAAAATGTGGACCCACTGTAAGTTCCAAAATATACAGTATATCTACAAAAGAATGGTGCAGTTTCAAAAGTTAATAAAACATTTATTTCTCACCTTACACGGGCACAACATACACCGTCAGCGGCGGCAATCATTTTTTTATTAACTTTTGAAACCGCACCATTCTTTTGTGTATACCCTGTATAAGTAAGACATGACTGGGCTAATCTACTTCGGCTGACTGTCACACATTTGCATCACCGTAATTACTAGACCTTGGCGATGCAGGTATGAGTCCCGTCCGTGAGCTTGCTGTCAAGTCCATTAATAACAGTTCATTGTCTTGATAATCCATTCCTATCGCGGCCTGCTGAGCACTAATCGATCTTGCTAACCTCTGCATCAACTTCTCTTTCCTCTCCTTCTGTCTCTTAGACTTCAGCCTTGAAAATTCATCCTCCGAGGTACTGTCTGTACTGGAACCACCTATGCTGACATTATCACCGTCACCATGTGCTGGTATTGTTACAGTACTTCCGTTGTCCTGTGATCCCATCTGGCTTGCACTACCTATTCCAGTAGCATCATCATTGCCTAAACCAGGTGCACTTTTCACTGAAAGTATTTCTGTATAGGTCATGCTTGAATGGCCTGGAGATGTTGGCAATGGAATTGCAGCAGATGCAGGTGCTCATGAAGATAGAGGCGGAAAGTTCAGATGTACTGTATGAAAAGAACTTTTCGGCACTGCTACAGGTGCAGAGGCAGGGGGGGGTCCGGTAGGTACGGGGAAGATTGTTCTGACATTGGGCCGCTGATCTGGAGGCTTTATGGACTGAACAGTAGATTGCTCATCTACTTCTTCTATGACCTGATCGGCTAATCTCATGCTCCCACCAGGCACAAGTTTCGAATGAAGACTGGCTGAGCTGTTGCTTGTTGGGATACTTGATGGCTGACCTCCTGAAAAATACAATGTTTCATGGAATACTGCACATCAAGTCACAAGGCTTGTAGCATGAATACAAAAATTCATAATACTACAGACTAAAACACCGATCTCGAACAAATTTCCACACTCTTATTAATACAAACCTGTTTTAGCACGACTGTTCTACATAACGTAACAATTAATAATTAACATTAACACGGAGATCAGCATCATGGGACAAAATCGTTTACCCAAGTGTTACAACTAGGTTTCATTCATTGCCTAGAAATAACATATATTTATTCTCGTTAGTCATGCATCACACAATCAGTCAGAACAAACCAGGGGCTGGCCACAGCTGAAACAATAAAATGGAAGACTGCTGGTTCCTTGACAACACGTATACGTAATGTGACTACTAGACCAGCATTCTCATTCACTATTCTCAATGTGATGATGCACTTGAATGCTGCTCAGTATCTTAAAGCATATCGAGTTATGTGTGCAATAATACACAATTAAAATGGAAAAGACTGAAAAAAATAGTATTGTTTTCTGTAAAAATAGTCCTATAAATGAGTTGGTATGATTACTGCTAAGCTTTTCATTAAGAATTAAAGTCCAATGCTGAAAATTTAACTTATTCCTACCATAACAGTTTGGTTTACTTCCCTCTCTTTAGCCATGAGATACTGATGAGCCTAACCTTTGTAATGTTCAGTTTAAATAGCTCCTTTATCCCTTGTTGAATGGATTTAATTCTGGGCATCTAAATAAAAAGACATGTCCTGATGAAAAATCATATCCTTTACTCTTAAAACTTTACATACCAAGTAGTGTATTACAATATAAATAGGCAAACAAACAACTACACTATACTAACACTATAAGAAAGACACTATTACCATACACGATTCAACCTCAAGAGGTCATCATCAGTGGCATCAGGGAAATCAATTCATTTAATTAAATGGCTCAAACTCGATTCACAAAATTAATAATGAATAGGACATTTGACGTAAAGTATTTTACGCGACATTGCACCAGATGTTGTTATTCCTTATTATACTAAGATATATTCCAAAGCATAAA